TGGAGGACGGCTCATGAACGGATTTTGGGCCAGATGGTTCGACTATACGGAATCCGGCCCGTAGTGAAGAAAATCAGAACTACCAATGGTAAACCAGTGGCAGTAGCCCCCGTTGTCTGAAGGGTAGCGAACGTTGAAAATTAGCGAAGCGATGATTGAATAAAAGGAAGGAAATGATGATTGAGTACTAGCGATGACCATCAGATCGTGAATGGCGTAAATTTTAATTTTCATGTCATTCATCAAGCTCCACTCGCTCAGATTGTCTGTTTGTCTCGCATATTAGCTGCTTTTCCTTGTTCAGAGGATAGATACCACCATTAGATCGCTTTTGAAGATTTATGCCGTTGCTCCCCTGCCCCAATCCTTTCTACATGAATTTTTTCCTGACTGTCCTACCGCCAGCTGGAACTCTCGTAAGGTGTTCCCGGTCAAAATTCCGGTCACCAGAGCCGTTAGCCGATTGGCTTGCAGTTCATGACCAGTCCTCACTGCTACCGTAGTGGCTCATGAGTGTGCACTTGACCGTTATTTGTGATTTCTTACGATTACACTATCTTTGATCATGCTGAGGATGGGTTATTAGTAGCGATAAATGAAAGACTGGCACGTTGGTCAATTTCAGAAAACGGACTTTTCATTAATTTCGAGGGTACTCGTGACTGTCAAATTTAACTGCTTGGTCTGAGGTACGAATTTACGACAAAATTTTGCTTTGTTCGCTTCGTGATCGCTTCAGGCCGAGTATAATTATTAACACATAAGTTCAGTCGCACCGTATACTGTACTTTTACACTTCCCATGGTCTCCAGAATTCAAGTGGGTTTGCAATTGGGCACCTTTGACTAGCACTGCTTTAAGTCATGTAACAGGTATGCCGTAGCTGAAGACATTTTCGTCATCGCAGGTATTTGCTTTATTTGCCTTCAAATTTTCGTATTAGAACAAAATGGATCATATCTGCTTATGATTAACATAAATAGCCGCCGGGATAATGCTTGGAGATTCTTTCTCCATAATCGGTAATTAATTTTGAAACGGCAGGCTATTAGCACGGTGTTAATTAACTTTGTTGCAAGGAGGGATTGAGGTTCATTGAAAGAGGAATGAAAGCATCATGCCACTTAGCCTTTGCACGAAGATGATCAGTGGACTGTGCTGATGGATCGATTCGCCTATGGTGTCATATCATCAATCTGCAGTACTAAACAAAAACAGTTTAGCTCTCCATCGAGAATGTAACACAGATACGTTCTTTTGCAGATCAGTGCTTGCACCTGCATCTTCTCCGTTCAAAGTACTCCGATGGCCACTGAGAATCCGAACTTATAGGACCAATGATTTTCAACGCTCTGAAAACAGTCAGTTTCGATGACCGTTTATCCTTTCAGGTCGCGGGGCAGCCGGTACTCTAACGTTCCTGTTCCAGTGCCAGGGTTCGAACTAGAGTAGAAGATAACCCAAGTTTGGAGCAGAGCATTTCGATATACATGATCGTCAGGTTATTCTTGGCCGTCTCCACAGACTTCGGCCAATCGCTTGGGGAAGTAGTGGCAGTTTCGCCTTGCTTCCTAATAGCAGTCGTAAGACGTACCAGGACAATTTCATCTGTGACTTCTCAATCTGCTGCAGAAGCAGCGGCTGTAACCAAGGCCTTCAGATACCTGTACTCCGGACCATTACGAGACGCATGAGATCGGCATTTTTGCTCATAAGTCCAACTTTAGCCGTTCGTATCCTGGATCGATGCTTTTCACTCCTGGTCCAAGACTCATGACCCAGGTAAGCATGGGGGGGGGAGATCGACTTAAATACCGAGAGCTTAGTCACCAGACTCAGTTGTGCCTTAATTACAACGGCTTGTGGTAATTCAGGAAGAACGCCGCTGGCCATGCCAATTCGCCGGTAGGTTTCTTCTTTCTGTTTTCTGTCACCAGTGATCACAGTTCTGACGTAGGTGAAGTGAACTTCTCCACTTATTCCAGTACTTGTCCATCTGTCTGCAGTGAGCATCGTTTAGGAGAACTAAAAGGCATCTGGCTCTTCACCTTCAGCACATTCACACGTATGCCGACCACATAGCGCTTGGCTGAGAACTTGTCCGGTGAAAGCTGGGGACCAGCTTCCGAAGAGGCCAACAAAGTCAGGTCGTCTGTAACCAGCGACCTCATTTTTTCGCCTTTTTTTATGCAGATTCTGTCGTCGCTTTGACTGCCATTCACTATTCTCTCTTTGTACAACACCGAAAGGAAAGGGACAGAACTCAGCTATGGTGAAGACGAGTGCAAACGTTGAAATTCCATTTATCCACCTACTCTCAACACATGGTGAATGAAGCGCTCCTAGCAACTGACCATTGATCCAATGTATTCGCAGGCATGTCTATGGAATCCGGTTGCACGGGATCCGGTCACAGGCTTCATCAACGTCCAAAAGCAAGTGCAAACTTTTCAAAAATGCTACGTTGAACTTGAGCAGTGGCAGTGATCTCCGGTTATGTGAAGGAAATGAGGTGAACAAAATTAGAATATTGCATGCCGCAGACCACCCAAATCAAGCGACCTGTCGGCGGTCGGTTTTCTGACCCTGTTCTTAGTCAGTGCCAGTTTACCATTTCTTCGCACCTGGCCGCAACACAGCAAATCACAGTCTGAAGTTGCAGAAAACCGAGGGGCGACGCAGAACTTCGA